ATTTTTTTTTTTTTTGGCCAGCTGGGAGAAGTAAGTATGGGCATGCAAGAGGGATTGGGGGGCAGATTTACATATTGAAGGGGACTGGGCTAATTTTGAATTAAAAGGAGTAAATGCAGCATAAATGTTTTTTGTTTTAAATGCAAGCTGTGTATCTGAATTTGCCTTCATATCGGCCACATGCAATCCCTGTAGAGCAGAGAATAGACTAGGAATGTGAGAAGCTATATCATGTGCTCACCAGCGAGTCAGGCTGTCTTGAATGGCATTGGTCAAAGCATGGCCCAGATGAAGAGATCCTGTTACATTTGGTGGAGGAATGCACATCATGAACATACCCTTAGGATTGGGCTCCGAGATGCTGGTTCTCTGAAAGACATTATAATTTTAATCAACCAAGTGCTTCAAGTAATCATTTCACAAGCCTGGGCAAGTCAAATTTAGAATTAGAGGACACCTTCAGCCCAATTTTTATGGAGATTTGTATAGAACCTCATGATCTAATTAAATAAGTTAGCAAAGCTGCTTGGTGTCCCTATGACATGCCCTCTTCATTAAACTTGACCTTCACTTATGCATTTTTTTTCCTTCCAGTAGCTGCCAGTTTGTGATCTCTAGAGATTACATAAGTGCGGTGCAGCACAGAAATTATTTATAGCTCTTGGAAATTAAAATATCAAAACTAAAGAGCTATAAAGACCAAATGCATTCCTTTTCTTTTAGAATTGACAGACTCAATGTAAAAACATGCAATTATTAGATTGGCCCAGTCCTGTGATGAGAGTTCCCAAGCACAGGAAAATGAAAGGCATAGGTCAGAGGTTATATTTGCAAAGCTCGGTGTCCCTGGTTGTACAAGAGAAGATAACGTGTATAAAATTTACGAGATTCTTTATAAAAACGGGAAGCAAAACAACTGAATGTCAAAGAGGCTGTACATGTTGTTCTGTTCTCCCAACAAATAAGGCATGCAAGAAATTTGGCCCACTCCACCTCTAGCGATATCACATCACCAGAATGATTTGGGCCTGCCTTTAAACTTTTTTCTAGCTGGGATTCACTGAGACAAGCCCACAATGCCCCCTTCTGGAACAATCTATTCACATACAACAAGACATTAAAAGGTTTAAGAGCCAATTACCATTCTTTTTAACCACACGTTACTGCAAACGCATGGCAACCGGTGTTTAGCGCAGTGCAGTGCCATTTCATTTTTAATGCCAGCCCAATGCCTAACACAAAGCATTGCAACAAACATGCATTGTAATCCATCATGGTGCACAGATGTAAATAAACTGAGTTTTGGTGGCATGCGTGATTTTGCATGAGCATGTTGCAGCCCATCTGAAACAAATTGGCTTCATAACACACAATCGATTCACATGCGTTGAAACAACACACTGGTGTGAACAGGTCCTTATTCTCATATTATCTAGGAACTCACTCCATATTCTGGTTTAAAGAACCCTTCCTTCTCCCACCATGGATACCAGGCTGCCTCCACATACTGAGGACTGTATGAATCTGGCATAGTGCCAGAAACATCTAAAAGCAAAATAAAAAGAGAAACAGTTTAAGAAAAATGTAAAAAAAAAGCATGATGCAGGTCTTAAATGACAGAAAATCTATAGTTACTACAAACTACAACAAATGGTTTAAGAAAAGCAGATCATATCCCAAATGCATCTAATGTCAGGAGAACACAGTCACGTTTGAATGTTTAAGACTCTCCGGTAGTCCTTTGTTGTTCTGTGTCTGATACACTCTACAATAGGGGGGTTTTATCAAAACTGGAGCAGCTGTGCATGGCAACCAATCAGCTTTTATCTTTCATTTTTAAATCTTACCTGAACAAACTGAAGAGAGAAGCTGCATTGGTTGCCCTGGGAAACTGCACTATATTCTGTCTGCTCCAGTTTTGATAAATTCCCCACAATGTATACAGACTCCTAGAGATGTGTACTGATGCACCAATGACACAGGATTCCCAGAGCATTCAGGCGTGTCTAAACAAACAGTTTACTTTCTAAAGACTCGGTTTACTTCCAGATTCTCTGCCTCATGGGTAGCTGGCACTGATGATCTCCTTTAAAAAAATACTTGCTGCTTGGCTGTGTTTTGTTTGTGTCACAAATTCAGAACAAGCATGCTGTAAATTGAGTGCCAGGGCTCCTTATCTATATGCTTGTTCTGGATTAGTGACTCAGAATTGAAGCCAAAACATCTGCTAGGCAGCCAGGAGAGGTCAGCAGTGGCAGCCTCCATAATTCTCTCATGGCTGGTAGTGTAAATTACGTCTGTACAGAGATCTCTGAACACAGGAGGAGGGAGCAGAAGCCAGGCAAGGGAGAAGACCCTCTTCTGAGTCATTCATCAGTGTGTATAAATGTAATTTTGAGCTACTAAGCTCTGTAATCACCGGGTTTAACGAAAAAAACAAAAAACACAGGTAATGGAGCCTGGAGGTCCAGCTTTTGACGGTATATGTAAAAATGCACAACATCATTTTTTCCCATTTAAGATAATAGTTTTCAATATGTTTAGACATGACAATAATAATAATAAAAATAAACAAAATTACTGCATATTTCCTTTAATGCATAAAAATCTACTGCAATGACTAAGGGCCCATTGACACTGCTCCGATCCTGTGAGTTAATGCGTGCACCAGAAAATTAGTAGATGAAGCATTTTTTTCTGCAGTGCATCCCAACATGCAGTTGTGCTTTACCGTGCATTGTGGTGTATTGCAATGCAGGTACATCCGAGCTGCGATAGGGTGCCATTCAAAACACTGCAAAATGACAAACGCAAAAGCGTGATTCGGCCCTGGTTGTCTAATTTACATTTTTGCCAGTTCAGGGTTTATTAAATATTAAAGCGGTATCAGTTGTGGCGGTGAAGCCGCACTTCATGAATTCTGAGCGTCTCCACTCTCTGTTGTGCTTCACTAAACTGTTGTCAGTCATTCTGTAAATGTGTCAAGGTCTAAGTCAGCACTCCTAGAGTCACAAAACCAAAAAAGAAATATAAAATCATGCAGAAGTGAATTCAAGAGAAGGAACTGGAGCCACAGCAGATTGGGAGAGAACAAGACGTCCATAGTAAATTATCCATCTGCCTCTCGCTCACCTTTCTTCTGTCCAGCAGGAGTTGGGATATCATAGACTATCACACCAAGTTCCTTCTTCTCTTTCTTTTCGATCTTTGGTTTCTTCTGATGTTCATCCACAAAAAAATGAAAAGACAAACATGATGAGAAGAAGGAGAGAGGGCTGTAAAATCTGATGATACAAGCGATAGAGCCAGCTCACATCTATCTGTTGTACTTTAATCTTCTCTTGCTTCTGCTGGAACTTCTCCAACTTCTCTTTTTTCTTGGACTCCTTCTTCAACTGGGCAGCTGTTTTTGGAGGACCATTGACAACAGCAGCAGCGCTGGTTGGTGCAGTTGGGGCATAGAGGTTTGAGCTCCTAAGGTCTGAGCTCCTGAGGTCTGAATAGAAATACAAGAGAGGTCATGTCTGAAACCTTATCCTTGGGTTTTCTCTTGTTTTAAGGTGCAACCAAATGGATGCAGTAATATCAATAAGATTGCTTCTTTCCCTCTCCTTTTCCACAATTGCAGATAAAATTATATATATTTTTTTAAATTAACTTTATTTTGGTAACCAACCCGTGCTTTCAACTTGCTCACCTCGGCAATAATGAAGTACCCCCAGCTGCCTGCAGCCTCTTGGGATAAAATAAATTTTTTTGGAAATTACTTATTTTGGTAAACAGCCTGTGCTTCCACCTTTCTCTAGGCAAGAATAAAACTACCATCCCCCCCAGTTGCCTCCTGGGATACTAATGTTATGTATTCCAGGAGGCCGGGAGGTGCATGCGGTGCAGTGCATCATCAGGGTGCCAGCTGCAAGAAGTGCCGAAGGAGGGAAGAGACGATGGTGGAGCAGGAGTGCAGTAGCGGATTACAGCAGGGAAATGCTGGCTTTGCTGGGAGTGCAGGCAGGTTTATTGAGGATAACCCAGAAATTAAGATAAGGGAAAAATAAATAAACAGGGGGGTGAAGCTCCTCTTAAAGGCTCTATGAGCACCACTAAGTTAGAAACATGGAATTTCAGTCCACTGAATAATTTAACTGTTGGTCCTGCAAGGCTTAGGGACTATATGGAAGAGTCAAAGGCAGCTAGAAGATCTCTTTTTTAAATTGGAAAACGTAATTATTAGCCCTCATAGCATTTAAGAAGGGCACCCAATGTATTGTATCCTGTGCAATTCTAGCTGCTCTATACATGGCTTCCATCAAATATCAAGGTCTCTAATGTGATAAATGGGTCCCGTCTGATATAAAGCATAGCTAGAGTCATTAAGCAGCTCCTCCTCTTCAGAGGGTGTGAAACAACATCTGCTTAGGGCTATCTCCCCATTATCGATCCTGTCGCTGGCTGCAACTTTCCAGCAAAAATAAATTGCTAAAGGAAGAACTTACCTGCTCCTATGGCATGTCCCCCTCATTGGCTAAAAAAGCTGCAGGGAGCAACGCTACTGAAGCAGGTGGGTGTCTCTTTTGTCTTAGCGAGTTACAACCAGCAACCGGATGACTAGTGTAACATGAGTCTTAGCCTGTCCTCAGTATTCTGCATATAGAATGATACTCTTAGCCCTGCCTCTGCAGCCTGTATGTTGAGGAAGCATGTAGCACCTTCTTCCCAGGCCCATCTGTAAGTTTAACAGCTTAGGAGAAATCAGTGCAGTATGGTTCTCCTAAGGACCCCCAGGGCCACACACCCCGACAGACAGGACGGAGGATGGGCTGTAATTGGTCTTTAGTTTTTAGTTTTTTTGTGCCTAGCGTCCTTCTCCTGCAGGTGGCGATATTACCCTACAGTACATGATCTCCGATCTGTTCCCTGTGTCCTTCAATGAACGGGAGAGAAAAACTAACTGGCTAAGTTGTACGAGTCAAGATGTTTTCCATAAAATATGGTTAGAGGCCCCCCTTTCAGATTAGAGTTCTAAAGCATTAGAACCCCTCTCTGGTTTTTTTTTTTTTTTACTGCAGGCGGGCTCCCTTAGGAGTTTGTTTTTCAGATTAGAGTTCTAAAGCATTAGAACCCCTCTCTGGTTTTTTTTTTTTTTTACTGCAGGCTGGCTCCATTAGAGATTTGTTTTCCCCTTTCTCTCCTAGTGATGTTTTACCAGACAGCAAGTAAGGGAAGATCTGCAACATCCGGTTGCTGGTTGTAGGAATAAAATCTGCAACAGGGACACCGGTAGAAATAAAATCTGCAACAGGGACACCGGTAGATATGAAATCTGCAACAAGGACACTGGTAGGAATGAAATCTGCAACAGGGACACCGGTAGAAATAAAATCTGCAGCAGGGACACTGGTAGGAATAAGATCTGCAACAGGGACACTGGTAGGAATAAAATCTACAACAGGGACACCGGTAGGAATAAAATCTACAACAGGGACACTGGTAGGAATAAGATCTGCAACAGGGACACTGGTAGGAATAAAATCTACAACAGGGACACCGGTAGGAATAAAATCTACAACAGGGACACTGGTAGGAATAAGATCTGCAACAGGGACACTGGTAGGAATAAAATCTGCAACAGGGACACTGGTAGGAATAAAATCTACAACAGGGACACTGGTAGGAATAAAATCTGCAACAGGGACACCGGTAACAATAAAATCTGCAGCAGGGACACTGGTGGAAATAACAGGAGTTCAGGTATTTCCCCACTTATTCCCCACTAAAAAAAAAAAATTTAATTTGTCTGTGCTGCTGTTGGAGAGTTTTCCTCACTTCCTGTCTGGCAAAATGCTATCAGCAAAACAGGGCGTGAAGCGAAATGTTTTTAATTAAGCCCCAACAGCTTTTTGACCTTCCTCCGCTCTATCCAATATGACGATGAAGTTTTGACACTGTAACGGTGACCACAATCCTCATATACTGCACATGTCATTTCCCAGACCTGTCAGTTATTATACCTCCATTGAATAGTGTCACCTCTCCTACAATCTCCTTAAACTGTGGTTGGTGGACACAGGTCAAGAACCAGCGGGTGATGTTGGTGAAAGTCCGTCTGGTGGAAGGAGAGATGATCTGCAACAGACACAAAAAATGTAATGTATAGGTGGCCAAGACTAGAAGGAGGAACTAAATATGAACTGGGGAAGTGAAAATATAACCAGAAGAGGCAAAACAGCAAGTACATCTATTACACACAGACTGCCAAAAGACAGCTTCTAGAAAGATCCAGCATGCACTGATGACGGTTCCTGTAGGTCCCCAGTCACCGCAGGTAGGCAGGATACATATGACTGATTCATACTATGGCAGTGGAAAAGCTGTTGCATGCTGACAATACCTTGTTGAAAGGATAGATGAGACAACAGGTCACTGCAATGTCGGCAAGGCTCAGCCGCTCCCCCACTAGGTACGTGCGCACTCTCAAGTGACTGTCCAGCACCTCCAGGATTCTCTGCAGTTCAACATGAGCGCGGTCTTTAGTCTGGGAAAAGATCACACATGATCAGACAAAGGTTACAGGCTAACAACAGCCAAAAAAACAGAATTGGTGCAGTATTAGACTAATGTATTTACTATGGCAGAACACAAGAACTGTGACACTTGTCAAACCCTCTGCAGACTCTGTGCCACTGCTCCGCCTCCTCTATACAGGTGACAAATACCACCCCCATCCATCAGCTTACAAATGAATGAATATCATTATATTGGGGTGGCTACAAATCAGCTTTCAAAGGGGTTGGCTGCTATGTGTTTAAGTTTACTTACCGCTTTATGGTCGATGCCATAGGCAGCTGGCAGCACGTCGGATTCGGCATAGTTTACCCATTGCTTGATGAGAGCGAAGCTTCGATGGTCGCCATCCCCGGAGAGCGACTCGGGGGCCAGCATGTAGGAGACAGCCCAAGCCCCCCATACAGATCCGGTGGAGGGAGACAGAAGGCACGGCAAGGGAAGTCCCCGTGGCCCCGAGGTGACTTCCTGCACCTCGGGGCGAGGGTGAGGAGAGAACTGTCCGGAGACGCGCACCCAGGTGCACCGCGGGTCTGAGGCGGAAGACAGAGGAAGGTAGAGAGTCGACATGGTGGCACGGGGAAGCAAAGACCTGTGAATGGAGAAGGGACAAGCGTCAACAATCGCCTGCAATGACTCACAGCGCGCCTTGTCCCGACAATAAATAGCTGTCTGCTGCTACGCCCATCTGTGCCATCACTAAACATACACCGGCTGCTTCACTGCGCTCATTACACCGCTGCCCATCAACACTACCTCATATAAGCCATGATTTCATCCCCGTGTAACATTATACAAGCTAGATAAAGATCAGTAATGAGGTTTGTTAAACTCGTAAATTATGTTCACAACGGGTGAATCATTTTTTACAGCATCCTAAGTGCCTGTCCTATCCATGGTGCTGGAAAAAAGCAACAGACAGACATACCGTGTTTCCCCCGAAAATAAGACCTACCCCAAAAGTAAGACCTAGCGCTATTTTTAAACATATCTGTAATATAAGACCTACCCCCCAAAATAAGACATAGTTTGGGGGTGGTCCAGAGAGCAACCAGAGTACATGGCGAGGACTAACCGCTGCGCCGCAGCTCCCGCATGCAGCCCCTGTCACGAAATCAGCAGACACCTGTCTGCCTCAGCCTTTGCTTAGAGAGCTGCCGCCGGGCAGAAAACTACATTTCCCAGCAGGCAGCAGCACAGCAAGGAACGTATGGCCAGTGGGGTCGGAGTGAGGTGAGGTGACTGAGTGGTCCAGCCTGGCGACGAGAGAGGTGGCTCCCTGGCGGGGATCCCACAGAGAACTGTGGACGGCATCAGAGAAGAGAGCCCCAGGACAACTGTATTGCGACAGTATTTAAAATTGCAATTTACTAACTCAGCATTTGCAGCGGCTGAGCAACCAAACACACCTCAGGTAACCTTTGAAGGTATAATAAAGGAGCTGATTGGTTGCCATGGGCAACTGATCCAGATTCAGTTTTGATCAATTTACCTCTGTGTGTATGGCACAAACAGGTAAATTGAAAGGCCTTGGTACACCATAGCTGTAAATTAGCTGACTCGCACAAGGCATTGTTCACAGACAATGGCCCGGTCCCAATAATGTATTATACTAAAGTGTATATTCAGCCCAAACTTCATATTTGTTTAGGTTTTAATAGAGTGAGGAAGAATTAGAACCTTCTTCAGGGTTATACTGCTAGCCAAGGCTCCATTAGGCCTTGTTTATATGGGCAGCAAAGGGGAGGTAAAAACAGGTCTGTGTTTTTACCAGCCCCACGACAACCCACTTTGAACCGAACATGGCGGCTGCTGGGGTTTGTACACATGCTGAAGCAAAGGAGGTGCGGGAAATTTCAAACCGCAGACAGTGCCACTTGCCAAATGCAACCACTGCAGTCAATAGGACCGTGTTGCAACCACGTACGAACCACTCGGCATGCAGTTGTATCACGTTACTGCAATGCAAAACCCGCTTAGGATTTTTTTTTTAAACGTGCATTCAGGAGGCTCTGTCATTCTGCTCTCTTCTCTATCAGCATGCTTCTAGTCAGTACATGAACTGATTGGCTCCTTCTCTCTCCCACTGTACAGGGACGGCTAGTCGGCTCTCATCTTCACCAGAAGTCACCATTCACATAATAAACGACACCAGTCTATCCATTTTAGAGTCCTAAATCATTGAAATGTCATCACTTCATAGAATACACAACAATTCCCATCCATCTTCTCCCCCCTCCCCCAAAAGCTTACAATCCATTCTTGCCACAAGATAATTTGCTGGGCCAATATGGGGAAAAACCAATGTGTCCCCCCATTCTTGTGATTCTTGTTGGGGGAGCTATACGCTACATGCACACAGTGGCTGCAAACAGCCCCCACCAGCAGAGGTGCAGGCAGCATTTAGCAATCTCTGAATGCAGCAAACTATCCACCCCAGATCATTCGTCTGATTGAGGCCTTAAAAGGTTTTACTATTCTTTTGGGTCACAGGAGTATAATCACTAATGTCTTCCTGTGACCCAAAAATAGGCAGATAGGGGGCTTATACTGCGATCAGCTGACAGCACAGAGTTGCACTGCAGCCGTGAAGGATCCCAACAACACAGGCTATCCCCCCTTTAGTCTATCATGAATGCAGCTGCTAGACTCATCCACCTGGCCAACCGCTCAGTGTCTGCATCCCCCCTCTGTCAATCCCTGCACTGGCGTCCATCCTCCACCCCCCTCTGCCAATCCCTGCACTGGCTTCCACTCACCCAGAGGATAACATTCAAAATACTAGCATTCACTTATTAAGCCATCCACAACTCTGCCCCCGGATATATCTCAAACCTTGTCTCAAAGTATCACCCTAACCGTCCCCTCCGTTCTTCCCAAGACCACCTGCTTTCCAGCTCCCTCGTCAACTCCACCCATACTCGCCTCCAGGACTTTTCTAGAGTCTCTCCCATCCTCTGAAACTCTCTACCCCAACCTGTCTGTCTGTCTGTCTGTCTCCCACCTTGACTGCCTTTAGGCGTTCCCTAAAGACTCATCTCCCACCTCAACCTAACCGCTCAACCATCACGTTCTCAAACAATTCATCCCCACACAGCTACCTCCTCATGTATCAATTCCCCCTCCCCTTTTAGATTGTAAGCCCCCAGGGGCAGAGCCCTCCTTACCGTCTTGAATTGTATTGTGATTGTAATGTCTTCCTTATATTGTAAAGCGCTGCGCAAACTGTTGGAGCTATATAAATACTATGTAATAATAATATTACTGCCTGATTGACAGCTGACTCTGCCTCTCTAGAACCAGAGCCAGCTGCGCCCCCTCCTGCCTGTCCCTTCAATGGGCACCGGGGGAACAGAGGGTGGAATCACTGGGAGGGTGGTGACTGACATTCGCTGCTCTCCCTTGGGAGCAAGTATCGATAGCTGAGCAATCAGCGGTCATGTGATCAGTCAGCGCTCTGTCTAGAGCCGCCGCTGCAGTACAGCTGCAGTATCCCCCTCGAAGTATTGGGAAGAGCACGTTTCACTCTCCCAGACTTCTCCTTTAACCTACCAGAATGTTTTTTGTTATGGGAGATAGCCAACCAAAACGACCAGAAAAAAAACACACACAAACCACATGCGGATGACGTCCCTGTTAGGGATTAAAGCCGTGACATCAGCACTACAAGGCGAACATGCCTCAACTTTATGGGCAAGCAAGATTTTAATTCTATGTGATCCCCTTGAACCCCTTTGTTGACAAGTGCGTCATCTGAAATCTGTACTGACAGAAATATGGAGGGCGGAGAGTTATGAGCTCAGTGTAAGCTCGAGGTGCACCGGCAGGGCTGTTTACTTCCGACAGCAGAAAAAGGACAAGCAAGGTAAGTATCAGTAGGGGGGGCGATCAAGAGGACCTGTCACTATGAACAAAACCTCCACTATGTTTTATACTTATAGTAAGTGCTATGTCTAACCACAAGATGCCTCCTAAAACCTTTATTAGCCAGGAAAGCCTCTTTTTTTTTTTTTGGTCCATCTCTGATTTGTTTCCACATTTTTTTTTTATTGGGCGGGACTTAAAAGGTTAATTCCTCTTCCTCTCTCTCGAGTGCACCAAGGATTCTGCATTGCACCTCACGTACAATGCAGAACTGCTGGTCCTGCATTGTACATGATGACACCAAAGCTGCGAGCACCGCCAAGAGCGCCAAAGAGGCTGCACAGAAGGAGGGGCTTGCAGGAATGAGGGATACGGTAGGTAAAAGTCCTTTTTACTGATACCCCAGTTATTTAACCCTTGCAGTACAGGAAAGCCCCAATTCAAGGGTAGATTTTTTTAATCCCCCCACCCAGTTCAGCTTTAATGGCTGCACTCCAACAGCTGCCATCTTCCTGACCAATGGCTCTGACTTAACGGCCCGCTAGGACACTCTCATTGGACAAGAAGATGACAGCTGGTGGAGCTTGGCCATGAAGTCAATGGAAGTCAGACCCTTATAACAAAGTGAAACTACATCATAGAGGAGCACAGGTTGGCCAATATAGTTACCAACACTTCTGGGTTCACATTAACACTAGGAAATCAGGTTTCTACTCCGGTCTGTGGGACACACATGGTCCTCCAAGGGAAGTATACTATGTGTGATCTGTAGTTCCTCACCAGATGGAGAGCTAGAGTGCCCGTTCTGATCGCCCAGCAGGTCCCTGGACCCCCTCTGTACCCTGCTGCCCACCTTTCTTTTTGCCCAGTCACCCCACAACACCCCGTCCTTCCATTCTTCCCCATCCTCATTTTTCTCACTCACTTCTCCTCCGCTCCGATGACGTCACACACCGCCCCACGTGTATTCGCTTTCACCTGCTCACTTCCCTCTTCCGCCCTCACTGCGCACTACAGAAGGACCCCGGTTTGCCCATAATTAGGTGTCCGTTTCCAACCAAACAATCACTAAGCAAATCATAAATTCCCGACAAACCCTTTTGCTCCTTCATCACCGTTATAACAAATCATTTTTTGAACTACCGAAGCCTATTCATTTCAGAATTGTTAATCGTAAGAGGTCTTAATTTTCAGTCATATTTGTTCTGGACGTAATTTGCATATATGTCGTTACTTTGGAGCTCGCTGTGATCCCTAAAGTAATTTTTATCGCGTTCCTTGCAATTCGTGGGTAGTAAATATAATCAGGCGTAGACGGGGCACCATAGAGTGCCGTGTGCGGGTGACATCTAGTGGAGGAAATTGGAAGTGCAGCCTGATGCAATATAAAGACATACTGTACTGCTCTGGAAGTAGCATGACTCATAGAGCGCTGTGTGCGAGTGACATCTAGTGGAGGAAATGGGAATTGCAGCCTCATGTAATATAAAGACATACGGCTCTGAAAGTAGCATGACTCATAGAGCGCTGGGTGCGAGTGACATCTATAAAAGAAGCTTTATAGCTTGTACTCCTGTGTTGGGGATTATTCACATTATGTGTGGAGATCTGCATCTCTCTGCACCCGAGCAAAGCAGATCACTCCTAGGGCACTTAATAAAAGATTTAAATGTGCCCCCGTTTACGCAGAGAGGTGCAGAAAAATGCTGCATGTCAGCACCGCGCCCCTGAAGTCTCCGTCTGTCCTTTTGTTTCTATGCACCACAGAGCTGCATTGCATAGAAATAAATGAAATGTCACTGCATCCACTGCATACACAGACAGGCAGGTCATTTTAGCATGCGGGTGGGGTGAATGAGGCCTTACTAAACTATCTAATGCAAGAGCCTACCTGGCTGGATACAAATTGAATAGATTGTTTCGGTAGGTCCTCATACCACATAGTTTTGGTAAATATAAAGCAGGGGTGGCAAACACAAGGCCCGCGGGCCGAATCCGTGGCCTGCACAGCAGCCAGTGGCGGATCCAGGGGGGGGGCAACGGGGCAATTGCCCCCCCTCCCCAGATTAGTGCCGCTCGGCTCGCCCGCTCCTGTCACTGTGCCGAATGACGAGTCCCGATCCTTGCGGCTGCCACCCGCAGTGTGTGACGTGACACAACTACATAACTACTGCATAGTCCTATACAACCGGCCCTTTGAGGGTAACCATACTGCTGATGCGGCCCCCGATGAATTTGAGTTTGCCACCCCTGATATAAAGGGAATTGTGCAGCAACCTATGGTTACCACCAGTCCAACAGTCCCAGATTCACCGGAGAGTCCGGGTTTTGAATGCTGTGTCCAAGTTTCATGGAAGCAGAAACCCAGACACAAGATGTCAGGCAGATAGGAGCAACCAAAATAAGGATAGGGGCTACTGGCCCCCCACTGAAAATAGTCTCAACTGTGATATTTACATATGAATGTGTGGCGCTATTTACATATGAATAATCCATGATTATTCGGGTTTCCTTTGAAGAAAAGGTGGCAACCCTACAGCAACTGCACAATCAGATTGTATAGTGTATGGCCAGTCTAAAGCCCACCCCACACATTGCAATCTGATTGTACAATCTCCTATAGATCTACCAACAACTATATAGTGCAAGCACCTGCCTGATTGGATGCAAATTGATTGGATAGATTAGATGGGCCCTCATATTAAATCTAAAGCTGATTTTTCAGAGATTGTATGGTCACATGGTACCATGTATGGTGACCCTTAGAGAGCATTTAATTGTTTCATTTTGGAGGGGTTTCACCTCGGTTCCTGTTGTGTCTACAGGCCAGGAAGTGAAAGGGAACCTCCTCTATGGAACACAAGACAGCAAAAAATGTGGCACAGGTTTTTATCACCTTCCCAAAACTGAAAAAAAAAGTTTTCTCTTCTTCAGTGGTTCTCAACCTGTGTAACCTCAGGACCCACATTTGTCCTCGGTCATTAAGTCGCAACCCAAATCGCACTGCAATAGTCCACATCGCATTGTGGTACCGCGCGTTCCGGTGCGGGCGATCTAATTGTGGGTGGGAGGTGTGTTTGGTGTACCATTCAAATGAATTGCAACGCAACATACCTCCCACACCAGAACGCGTAGTAAGTGTGATTGCGTGGTTCAGTGCGTTACTGGGGTCCAGGCACCTCTACAGGACACATGAGGGAGCTGTAAGCAATGCATGTATGGATGGAGCTCACTTGCGGCCATAGCCCCAGCCTATCCCACCTCAAGCTGACACTCGATGCTGGGCAGCATATTCTCAATGGCTGCATGGTGCAAGAACTGACAGTGCTGCGCTAGGGGGAGGCTGGGGAGCCTCTCACCTAGAAAAGTGGAAGGCATGCAGCGACCCACTGAACATGGGGTCACGACCCACTTTTGGGTCACGACCCACCAGTTGAGAACCAAGGCTTTAGATGTACTTTAAGCCAAGGGTGGCCATATTTCGCCCTCTAGCTTTGGTGGAACTACAAGTCCCATGAGGCACAGGCATGACTTCCAGAGGCATGGTGGGATTTCCAGTTGCACCCCAGCTGGAGGGTTTAGGTTTACCTGCCGCTGCTTCAAGCAGTTGTCCCAAGTTGTCGTTCATTTATAACCAGCAAGGAGAGAAGCAAGAGCTTTTAAAACATAAACACAATCAGATCTTTCTGGTGCTTGTAGTTCCTCGCACCGCTGTCAACATTGGGTCATCAATAGAAATGAGGGTGACGCTTACCTGTAGGTCCGTGCATGATACGTGATCTGTACGCCGTGCATGGTGTCAGTGTGTTGCGATGGCAGACTCCCACAGATATCTGAACACATCATGAAAGGCACGCAGAGAACCGGCTACGCTTACACGTCCTGACGCTTACTCATAGAGTCCCCTGCCAGGGTGATTGAAACAGGTCAGGAGGAAGAACTCCATTTATGTATAATGATCCTTTAATATTTCCTTCTGAAGTTCAGAGGCAAGTCTGTCCCATTCCTGGGCAGGTTAGAGTTCTATACACATGAACACACACCCTTCCCTCTCACTAACACTCCTACTATTAAAGTGAATATCAAACTTCTCTTTATTTGTGGATAGCTTACAGAAGGTCTAAAACCCCAATCAGATGCCTGTATCCTGTTAGGGAGATTTCCCTTCATGCAACAGGAAGTGAGAGATAAGTTCCCTAGAGTTAGGAGAATTCCACTCTCAGATAGATGTCACTAGAACTTTTGTTCCCCCCATTACATCTTGTTCTTATGACAACTCTAAAATTTTGGATTTTCCCTTACTTTTCATGTCACCAGGACAAATGAGGGAAGGAGGCGGGAAATAATCCACAGCTAATTCTCCCAAAAAAGCTCAGGGAGCATTTTAGGCGGCAAGCGGTTTGGATCGCTCTGAGCGGCGCGTTTGCACGATTCATGTCGGCGGTTCAGTGCAGACAAATCCACGCGACTGAACTACCCTGGTGTAAAAGGGGCCTTAGTTGTTATTTATTTCCTATGATCTTTGGCTGCATCTAGTGGCCATAATGCAGTATTGTCATTGATTCACTCATCTTTGTGAATGAATTACACTCGACCTGGAAGGATTGCTAATAACATTAATTTTTGCCCAATTCACACAGAACTAATAGACATTCAGTTTCACATACTCCCTTTCACCCTCAACTGCTCTATTCACCCAGAGGAATGAAGGAAAACCATGTGTGGACACCAAGTGGTGACTTGGGGCTTACACAGGGCTGAGGATTCCCTCCCTGTACCTTGAGTGGCCATTCACCAAGCACATGTTCTGTCACATAAGAGGAGGCGGGGTACGTGCAAAGTATTACTCTTCTCCAAACAGGGGAGTGAAAGGAAGATGAGAAGGGCAGCTGCATGGGCAAAGCATGGGTTCACATTCAAAATTGTATTTTCTTCCCTAGGTGGTGACCCTGATAAACAATGTCCAGCTAGATGACGCTTAACAAAGGTGAGGAACAGTTGGTTGGTTAGATCAGGAATGGTTTATGCATAGGTAGATTAAACTTGTAATCAATATGGCCTACGACAGAGGCAAAAGAGTGACCAGGAATGGAAGACAGCTCCGAGGGTGGTGGGTCTAGCTACCCATCCACACATCTTGGCTTCAGATCTACTCTTACTTCCCACACCATTGCTCCTTGAAAGCTTCAAACCCACAGCCTTCACTCCACTACCAGTGTCCTCTCTTCAACCTACATTCTCATTTCATGAATGGAAACCATTAAAAGCAGCAGGTTTATCATAACAACCCAATGGGAACCTCCTCCCAACTTTACATCAAAGGCTTTTTCCCCTGACCCAGGCCTTTTCCCTCTCCCTTCCTTAGGCCAGACATGGGGCTACTCCTGGGCACCACCTCACTCCTAGACCAGCTGTCTGGAGGGCATATGCTGCGTATGAACATCAACGTTAACATACTCTGTGTCCCACAGGACCCTTCAAAACATTTAAGGACTTCACCCATGGCCTGCTTCATTGCCCGATGTCACTTTGGTAGAGATGTTCAGTAAGTAAAGCTCTGAGGGTGGTGGGTCTAACTACCCATGCACACATCTTGGCTTCAGATCTATTTTTACTTTCCACACCATTGCTCCTAGAAACCTTCAAACCCACAGCCTTCACTCCACTACCAGTGTCCTCTCTTCAACCTACATCCTCATGTCATGAAGGGAAACCATTAAAAGCATCAGGTTTACCATACCAACCCAATACGGGCCTCCTCCCCTCTCCACCCCAAACGCTTAGTCCCCTGACCCAGGCCTTCTTTTCCCTCATCCTTTCTCAAACCCGGTATGGGGCACCTCATGGACACTACCCCACTCCTAGACCAGCTGTCTGGAGGGCATAGGCTGGGGATAAACCTCAACATTAACATACTCTGTGTCCCACAGGACCCTTGAAAGCATTAAAGGCCTTCTTCTCCCTCTCCCTTCATCAGGCCAGCATGGTAAATACAACCCT